TGGCCTGGGCGACTCACGACTCAGGAGTTGATCCCCGGACCGCTCGCGTAGTAAGCATGCTACCTGCCAACACACTACTTCCGCCCTATCTTGTGATAGCGCCTAATAATCTAGCCACTTCTGACAACATTCAACTCGATTAGATCCGTTCTTTGGCAAGAACGCAGCGTCAGATCTTCAGCAGCCCCCGACCGAATCTCATCGCTGCTTTGTGGTTGTCGACTTGGTTAACAGTGTGACGCTGATCGAATTACAGTCCACGACAGCGTAGCGCGTGATCTGTTTTACCCATCTATAAACATCACCATCATGATGATAGTTTTATTATCTACACATCTTTGTTATTTTGATAAATCGAAGGCGACAAATTCTTTCTTCAATGGCCAAAAACAGGAACGATAGCAAAAATGTACACAAAAAGTGGCAACAACAATATGTGCAACTACACAGAAACAACAAATAAATGAAGACACAATGAAGCGATTCATCGCTGCTGCACGCACGTTTTCGTGGTAGGACCCACTCAACATGGCATGTGGCCAAGCGACTTGATCGTGATGTTGGAATAATGATATGTGTAAAGCAACGCGAGGAAAGTGCTAGTATAAACCCAAGAACGAACACGCAGCGCATAACAGGGCGCAAGAAGCGACGACGACGCGACGCGTGTCCTACGCGTGCGCGTGCGTGCCGTTCTATTATTCGGACGTAACAGAATAAATACAGTACATCTTATTAACTGTACAACATGTACAACTAACGACTAGAAGTCGCGGGTCTGGGCATAAGAGTTCTGTAAAAAAGGATTTTCAGGACAAGGGGGCTTCAAAGGGTGACCTGTATTTCAGTTACGTATTTGTCGATCGCGACTCACTGCGAGTCGCAGCGCGTTCAATACGGCCGAGTCTGGCTGTTGTGCACGTCTTCTTCTAGACGGCCGGAGTGGCTTGGGGCCCTCTTGGTAGACAGACTTCGTTTTTGACGCGTGAACAACAGCCTTGAGGTCATCGGAATTCGGTGGTGCCAGAAAGAGACGTTTTCGAAAAACGAACAGGTGCCGCAGATGGTTCGTCCCGTTGATTCTGAAATATCTCAGATGAGTTCGCGATTTTCATAGCCGCATTTGCACACTTGGGCGGATACCGTACCACCTGTAATTTTGAGCGCGTTCTTACCGTTTTTCCAGTGGATGTGGACGCAGACGAGCCGACACCGGATTCACCTTCGCTTGATTCGCGACCATCATCATCGTCATGCTTGTCATGATTCTCAACCTCTTCACCGATCTCTTCCAGTTCTTCACTGTGTTCTAAAAAGCAGTTATTTATGTGAGAGTTGCGCGATTTATGACAGTTGTCCCGACGGTCAACATACCTCGTTCGTCATCCTTAGGTTCTTTCTCACTCATGGTGTCACCAGCAGCAGCGCTAAGCGTCAACCAGTCAGCGCACGGTCTCGTCACCCATGGATGTCTGAGGATTTCTTCGATGGAACATCTTGAGAACGGGTCGAAAGCAAGGCATCGGGCAATCAGGTCCTTCGCTTCTGAAATTTCTAATTGAATTTTGGAAATACGAGTGCTATACCGTATATTTTTAGAGCTACAGTAATCAGAGTGAAGCTCATCAAAGGCAATCACACGGTATTTTTCTGAAAAAAAGCTCATGGGCGCGTTCTAGTTCATGTCTCCTCGTGGATAACCCAAGTATGGGAGATGCTGCTTTCCCACACGGTCATGTAAAGGTATCACTCAGTCCGCGTTGCGTTTTTTTTTGCATGAGAAACTACCAGTGATGGCGTTCCCGCACGTCCCGCAATGTCTTTAGCGCAGAATCTTTAAACATGTCCCAGCATCAGCGCCACCCCTGTGTCTTCCAAGCGGAGACTTCAGACAGCCCGGGCCGTTTGGCTGAGTTCGTGTTTTTAAGTAGACGCCGATGATGAAGCGTCGATGGATCATGGCGTTTGTGTAGGTGCAGACAAGTAAGCAAGTCGGAATCCAGAGTTGACTGTGGTTGGCGACTTTGATCTTTCTTTGTGGGTGTGGGTCGATACGTAGCGGCGCCACGGCCTTACCGTAACTCACCGCGTATCTTGTCGGTTCAGGCGTCTGCTACACCACACATCTCGCCGCATCGCCAGCCACTATTCATGATGCAGTAATGTTAAGTGAAAAAGTTATTTGGATATGGTATTTTCAAAGGTCACATGTACGAAGAAATCAAGAAGAACCAGATGACAAGTGCAGCAAGATCGTGCACTTGTTGAGAAAGAACAATTCGATTGATTTACGGGGTCAACTACGATTTCGATCTGCACTCAGCACGTGCGGACGCAGTAGCAGTAATCTGGGTCCAAACTGGGTGGAAACTGTCAGTTAACGTGGACCATGAGGTCATGATGATCTTGAAGTGCTCTATTTGTCGAATGCGTCTGAGCCCGACGGGAGGTTCGTTGAGTAAAATACCCACCGTCGTCTATGGGCAGATAGCAAGTCTTACTGAGAAGATTGGGTGGAGCGAAGTTAGAGATTGGGAAGTTGAACACAAGCTGTATAGCGTTCGTGTTCCCTGAGGAGTACGGTACTCCCTTTATCTGGTCGATCCACACAACGGAATCGTGCTAAGAATGGTTGGTGGTTCCAGTAAACGAACCCAAGGACTTAATTTGAGCAATTAATGAAGAGCGTTCGGGTACTTGCGTAGTGCTAAGAGCCCTAACGGACAGGCGATAGACTGCAATTTTCGACTCCTGAGCCTTTCTCTGGTAGCTCTACTCAATCTACTGTATCCTGGGACTTCACGAGTACCATGTATGGAAATTGGCTTTACTACCATATCCAGAGACGTAGCTGCACTACTATATCCAATGATTTGACCTTACAAATTACGAAGAGAGCGGGGCTCCCCAACATCCAGCCATGGCAGGCCACCCTCAGTAACCCTTCAACCATACCGTCTCTTCAATTCATTCTGAAAGAGAGGCGAACAACAAGAAACTGGTCCTACAGAAGGCGCAATGGTCGCCGCGATCACTTTCAGAAGACGTCAGAGAACACTGTGCCATGTGCTCAGAAATTCAGGTATTTCACTGAGAAATCCATTATTTCAAAATTATCGCCTTTGTTATCGCACTGCAACCCACTCCGTTCACTGAATTTCTTTGTTCGCCTAGTTTAGCAATTTCGTCGCGTCGTTTCGGCCATTGTCTAGACAACAATGCGCGATTTTCATGATAAGCGCCCACCCATGGACGCTGTTTGTGTTTATTGTATAGTACGGAAATGAAGCTCACCTGAAGAAACAGTAGTGAAGAACGGCAGTGGTCCGAGGAGATGAGCAGTACAGATGTCCTTCTCGTTTCGGAAAGGCAATCGACCGTTCAGGGCATTGTAGAGAAGTACTCCGAGTGACCAAACGGCTGCTTCGCGGCCAAGGTACAGCGAGTGCAAGAACCACTCCGGCGGACAATACAGGCGAGTTCCTGGAAAAACTTGGATTGGGAAGGGGTCTTCGGCAGCTTCTCAGTTAAGGCGGTTGAAATATATTTTCCTAAATCATAATATCATCTATATTACGCAATTTTAAAGGCCCAGATGGTGGGCTGGCAAGTGAAGACACGCACGGTTGCGTGTCTTGGGTAATTTCCACCCACATCAATCGGATTTTTTCCCCTTCTGCAATCGGTTGATCAACGTAAGATTGGATAGGAACACTAGTGACCTGTGTATCGATTAGCCCCAAATTAGGACTTAATTCCATCCGAACGCCAGTACAATTCTAAATAAGAACGTGTGCGTAGCGCATCCCGAGAGAGAATTGACCGTCTCTGTGCCTACTTTTTAGCTAAAACTGAATGATTTAATCTCTGAGTCCTTC